AGAGCAGGGGTGGGGAACGTGCCTGCGGGCAGTATAAGGTCCGAGAAATCATTTGGTCTGGCCCTGCCCAGGCCTTAGGGGTAAATTAATTAAATGTTTGACCATTTAAAGCTGGTTAATTTTTAAGTTGATCATTTTGTATGGCCCAAGAATGATATAAATATCCAAATAGTCCTTGGCAGAAAAAAAGGTTCCCCACCCCTGGCCTAGAGGAATCCCAGGGAGAGAATCTGGGGGTCTTTGGGAAAGGGGAATTCCATTAGACAGAAGCAAAGGGGATGATGCTAGCAACTAGCTCTGAGCACAGATGGCCACACTTTCCCATTCCACCCCCATCACTACATCCTCCTAGAACTGAATGAAGCTGGAAGAGGATATCACCTCAGCACCGTGTAGCAGGAAAGAAGTTGACCTCTGAGAGGGAGATAGCAGGGGAGGGGTTAGAGCTAGGGGAAAAATGGGAGGGGGTACCCGTCCCTAGCAGGAACAAAGGGCAGAAAAATTTCCAGCCATAGCAGGCTAGTCTTATGACTCTACCATGCTGGCTAAGAGAGCCAGGATTTACAGGGCTCTAGACATTTATAATGTTTCGGGATGAGTATCCAGTTTGTCCACAGGGAAGCCATTGGTGGACAGCAGCTGTCCCTGATGGAAGGCCATGGGGCCTGGAGGACCTCAGGATGGAGGCTAAATGAACTGTATGTTAGGAAAAGTGCCAAGCCAAGATGAAGAAGTCAGCCCCACGAGGTGCTTCCAACACCTCCCCTTCCCCAAATCTCCCACCTCCACCAATAATCTCACATTCTAATGGAAAACACTGTGCTTGTACACAAAAGCCGTTTTATGGCACCTCATCTACACTGCTACCCCCAGCTCATCCTAGATAGAAAAGTGTGGAGCTACCAGGAGCCTGGTTGTCTTCTGGAGGACCTGGAGAGGGATTCTGTGAGTTTCTTGGCGTGTTGCAAGGGAGAAATCTCTCTCCTATTGTAATGGGGGTCAGCCAGAGACTTCTGACCTGACATGGTACCAGCTATAGCTGAAGGAGGAGGAGAGGATAGTGACAGGAAAACACTGTAGAATGCAACAGGCCTGGGGAAAGACTTCTTGGAAAAGAAGGGGCTGGCAGTGACTAATAGTCCTCCAGCTTCAGGATGGACATTACAGACCATGTGGAAGTTAAAACCAGATATGGTTAAAAAAAAAAAAAAAAAAGATTTCCCAATGGGGAGGTAGGAACCAAATGCTACAACTAACGTCACCGCCTCTGGAGAGGGGCGGGGGGAGGTATTTCTTAAGGGGGAAAGAGCTCTTCGGTTAACAAGCTTTAAGAAAAGGCATGTCTTGAGGTAGGAGGAGGGCCTGCATGAACTTTGAAGTTACTGTCACACGAAGGTCCACTATGATCCTCACCCTCACTGTCTCCTTGACACCACAACCCCCCCCCCACCCCAACTGAGTCTCTCCTTCTGAAGCACCTGGCTGGCTGGCTACCGGCTATTTCTGCTTTTTCGGGAGGGAAGAGCTGGGTGTCTTCCCCTTCTCAAGGTCACAGCTGTCTGGGCTGGAAGGAAATCTGTTCCCTCCCCCTTCTGGGTGTTTGACCCTAGGGATTAGCACAACACATGGCAAACTACCTAGATGAGTCTCATCCATGTCATTCATTCCGTGCCTTTATTGAGGACTACTAAGTGTCAGAAGCTGGTAATACACTAGTGATAACAATAGACATAAAGCATAGTCTTGTCCCAGTGGCCCTGAGGCTTCAGAAGACCCCAAAACGGAGGTCCTCTGTGTTTATACACTCATAGAAATATTTGCAATACCTATAACCAACAACGGACTCATATTTTAAATATATGAAGAACTCCTACAAAGCAGTAAGACAGAAAACCTGAGAAAATTGACCCCCAAAAAATGGATAAAATACTTGAACAAATATCCAAGTGGCAAATAAATATATGAAAAGATGTTTAACGTCATAGGTTATCAGATCAATGCAATTTAAACCACAATGAGATGCCACTACACACCCACCGTAATGGCTACAATTTTTTAAATCTTTTTAACTTGACAATACAAAATGTTGATGAGGATGTGGAGCAATTGGAACTCTAAGATAGTACTGTCAGGAGTGTAAATTAACATGAGCACTTTGGGAAATTATTTGGTAGGTTTACTAACACTTAAACATATGCCTGCTCTATCACCCAGTAAGTCTGTCCCTAGGTATGTATCATAACAGAAATATAAGCATACATATACCAAAGGACACAAACAAAATTGTTATAGCAGCACCCTATATAATAAAAGCCTAATATGCAAATTGTCCCCTCAGGTGGTCTTTCGACCTGGAGACCAACTGGGAGACTGGGAGTTTGACCGCTTGCTATGACATGCACTGACCACAAGGGGGCAGCACAGACCATGGTGGGCATCAGCAATGTGGTGCTGGCAGCAGATGGCAGTGGAGATGCTGCCGACCCCAATGGGCCCCAATGAGAGTGGGACCAGCAGGACTGTGGTTGGATGGTGGAGCAGGTGAGGGGGGCAGCGCCAGGCCAAGGCGAGGTGCCAGGTGGGGCTGCGGGGCTGCGGGGCTGCGGGGCTGCGAGGCTGGGGGTGCCAGCTGGGGCCCTATCTCTGCAGGCCACCTAGAGGGACCCCACCCCTGCACGAATTCGTGCACCGGGCCTCTAGTTATTCATAAGAACCCAAACTGGGGACATCCCAAATGTCCATCAGTAGAATAACAGATGAATAAACTGTGGTATATTCACTTAATGACAAAATATACAGCAATGAAAATGAATTAGCTAATGCTACCACAATGTTATGCATTAATTTTACAAACATAATAGTGAGAGAAGCCAGGCACAAAATAACACCGACTGAATGGTTTCATTTATATAAAGTTCAAAAGCACACAAAAGTAATCTATGGCGTTAGATGGGGATTACCTTTGGGAAGGAGGGTGGGAAGTGACTGGAAGGGGATATAAGGAGGGCTTCCAGGGTGCCAGTAAGATCTAATTCTGATCTGGGAGGCGGTTATATGTGTATGTTCACTGTGTCATAACCTCTTGACCTGCACACGAAGGCTTTGTGCACTTTCCCATGTCTGGTATACTTCAATTAGTTCTTTTAAAAAAGAATCCTAGCCGGTTTGATTCAGTGGATAGAGCATCAGCCCAAGGACTGATGAGTCTCAAGTTCAACTCCGGTCAAGGGCACGTAAGTAACCAATTGATGTGTCTCTCTCACATTGATGTTTCTTTCTCTCTCCCCCCCCCCCCCACTCTCTCTAAATATCAATGGTGAGGATTAACCAAAGTAAATTTAAAAATTCTTTAAAAAAAGAAAACCCAGGAGACGGGAACTGTTTTCAGGGGGGTGGGGGGGGGATGGAAGGTGGGAAAGGAATATGAGGGAAATCAAGGTTACATAGAGGTGGCTGAGCTGTGGCACCATTACAAGAGGGCATGAGGACTGTTGAAGGGAGAAGGGCAGGAACCGTCGCTAACACCTCACCGAAAAGTCTCCAGGTACATCAGCCTTAATTCCCCACCAACCCTACACCCCCTATTCAAAAACAGATCCTTTGGGGCAAAGCCCAATGTTTCCCACTTCTATCTTCAGGCTGAGAGACCCAGTGTTTGAAGCCAGAAGTGCGGCTCTAAGACTAGGTCCTGTGAAGACCGCAGGCCATTGTGCAAATGTCCTAGCAGCTAAACTGGAATGATCGCCAATACTGGCGTGGGAGGTTGTAGGTGTTGCTATCCTTGTCCAAAGGAATTACCTGGTGGCTGTGTTCTCTCTCGCTCTCTCTCCCTCTTTCTGAAAGGGATGCCAAAAGCGTCAAACCCAGCCCTGCGTTCTCTACACACACACACACACACACACACACACACACACACAAACACCGGCACACCTCTACTCCAAGCCCCATCCAGAGGTCTGAAGTCACGCTCCCGTGGCCCCTGAGCCACTTTCCGGGAGAAAAAGAACAGGAAGGAACCACTGGTCACAGGTTCCACTGACAAGAGGGGAAAACCCGAGGGTGGCGGTTCCTTTTCTCGGGCGGGAGGGGGGGGGAGGCCACACCCCCTGCACAAAAACATCCCAGAGCACTGGTCCTGCATCTGCGTCGGAGAGGCGGAGCTGCCCCGGGGAGGAAGCGGCCCAAGGCTGGAGGGGAACACCCCTCTTTGATCCCACGAGGTGCGTCAGGGAAAGTTGGATTTCGTTTGGCCCGGGATGGAGACACCTCTCCCCACGCTGCCACCGGGACCAGAGGAAGCCAGGCTCCGCTCCGCCCCGACCTCAGGTGGTGCGCGTGTGACCCCAGCCGAGAGCCTGACCTCTTTTCCCTCCCGCCCGCCCATCCCCACCCCTTTCAAGGCCGGGACTTTATTAAGGCCGGTTCCGTCCGGGCTGAGCCATCGGCTTAGAAGAAGGCGGGATCTGGCGGAAGCTCGCGGCGACCAGGCAGCCGGAGAGGAGCCGTGACCAAGAACGAGGTAGGGACGGTCCTCCCCGAGGACGGAGCGCGGGAGCTCCGCGGGAGTTTCCCCGTCTCCCCGCAGGCCGAAGCCCCAAGGAAGCGCTCGGGTAGCCAGAGCGGGCGCGCCCTGGGCGCACGCCTTTCGGGGGCGAGGGAGGCCCCGGGAGCGGTGGGCCGGCCCGAGGGAGGTGTCTTCTCCGGCGATCGCCGGGCAGCGGGCACCCGG